TGAGTTAAGCTGCGTAAAACACCCTGAGCGAAGAGTACTTCTACTCGGAACTATGAGCTGGATCCCCCTAGGCGAAAGGATTCTACCTGAGTTAAGCTGCTTTAGACACCCTGAGTGAAGAGTACTTCTACTCGGAACTATGAGCTGGATCCCCCTAGGCGAAAGGATTCTACCTGAGTTAAGATGCGTAAAACACCCTGAGCGAAGAGTACTTCTACTCGGAACTATGAGCTGGATCCCCCTAGGCGAAAGGATTCTACCTGAGTTAAGCTGTGTAAAACACCCTGAGCGAAGAGTACTTCTACTCGGAACTATGAGCTGGATCCCCCTAGGCGAAAGGATTCTACCTGAGTTAAGCTGCGTGAAACAACCTGAGCGAAGAGTACTTCTACTCGAAAATATGAGCTGGATCCCCCTAGGCGAAAAGGTTCTACCTGAGTTATGCTACGAAAATGGGAGGTGTGAACAGTAGTGATGCATGCTAAAAAGAGAAAAAATGGAGATTTTAAGGAGCTTAGGTGACGTTCATTCTTTTAGAATAGCCATTCTGCACCGCTTTATTCCTGCTTCAAACAAAGAAAGATTTATGAGTTTTCAAAGTGGTGGTTGGTTTGTGGCCTTGATCCCTTGATGCCTTGAGTAGTTTAATTCACGGCCACTGCTTCGAAGAACCGTTTCTGTCAGCATGGTACCGAGATTCTCGGCTGCTCTGTATCATTTTCTAGAGACCTTGGATTTACATTATTTCCCACAACTGTTTCATACCCAGATGTCCGTGCTATAACTACCCTTGTTTCTAAGGCAATGCATTTTTTCTTTAAAATCGAACTCGGTTGTCTTGCACCCAGTATCAGTTTGTGTCCGTAGTGCTTATCAACTTTCTCCTGAAGCAGGTCCTGCTCATGTGACTTTTTAGTTTCTTTAAAACACTTTGTTCGCTTTATCAAATGAGATCTTAGATGGATTCGTGCCTTCGTCAATGCCATATATGCCCCAAATTGTGCTCGATATTACGGGGGAATTGTAGCTAGTTTTGCAGCCATTTCTTTGTTTCGATTTTGATGCAGGATTAGACCGAAAGGGACTCAAATAAAAATTATGGGTAAAAACAGAATAATAATTGAAAGTTAAAAACAACAGTGTTTAAACAAAAGGTGTCCCTTTCGAGGAAAGGAATAGAGAGACTTATCTGGAGGTATGTGCCGACTTCAATGAATCATGACATGCATTTTGGACTGGAAGCCTGATCCGTCTAAGCTGTCTAATTCTCAAAATCCGCTGCAAACGTTCATCTTGAATTTGTCTTGGTTGTGCTCATGCCGGAGAATCAAAGACCCTCATTCGGCTAGTAGCGCCTTTTGCAGGTTTTCGCTAACTAACCTCTCTTATTTCTCTACTAACCGTCGCCTTATAGTGCCCATGTGGGTTTTCACCAATATGACTCTCTCATTTCTCTATTCACTGTCGCCTTATAGTGCCCGTACGAGTTTTCAGTAATAAGACTCTCTCATTTCTTTTTCTTTTTTTTGAATAAGATACTGTAGGAGGGAGATTACCCAACGCCTTTGGCATGGGGACTTCAAACATTCTCAAAAAAAAAACATCGATCAGAAGTTCTTGAAAGGTAAAAAGGCGAAATGAACCTTGAACGGAATTACAACTTTTGGAACCGTTTTTACAGAAAAACCGTGAAATAAAACAAACTTCTGCCCCAGTTTTGGAGTATTGGGAATATGGATTTTTTGTTCTGATGGGACCGAACCCAGGGTAAGGCTGCCTACGTATCCTTTCGGAATCAGGTCGGACATAGTTCAATGACTCAGAGAATTGTTGTTTGGATCTTTTTTTTTACAAGTACATATGTTCTAAAAAGTGAGAAACAAGGAAGACAAATACTGCTCAAAAAGGATTTAACAAAAGGGTGACACCTATTTGGAATAGCTAGCAAATGATAGCCTTCGTCACATCGAAATGTGTGAAAATTCTACAGTGGGTGTATATCAGACATAATATCTTTTGACTGCATCTGCGTTAATAGTTATGTCTAGTACCCGTCCTTCTTCATCAACCAAGTGCAAGGCCCCTTTTGGTAACACTTTCTTGATGATGTAGGTTCCTTGCCAGTTCGGGGCGAACTTTCCTTTAGCTTCTACCTGGTGCGGAAGGATGCGCCTCAAAACCAGCTGGCCTATCTCAAATCGCCTTGGGCGCACTTTCTTATTGTAAGTGCGTGCCATTCTTTGCTGGTATAACTGGCCGAAACACACTGCGGCTAGCCGTTTTTCATCGATCAACATCAGTTGTTCTAATCGGGTCTTGACCCACTCAGTGTCTTCAATCTGTGATTCCACAATAATTCGGAGAGAGGAAATTTCAACTTTAGCAGGTATTACAGCTTCAGTTCCATATACAAGCAGATACAGAGTTGCGCCAACAGTTGTGCGAACAGTCGTGCGGTATCCCAAAAGAGCAAAAGGCAACTTTTCATGCCATTGCCTGGAACCTTGGATCATTTTCCTAAGAATCTTCTTGATGTTCTTGTTTGCAGCTTCAACGGCTCCATTGGCTTTTGGCCGGTAAGGGGTAGAATGACGATGCATGATTTTAAATTGTTCGCACACCTCCTTCATCAAATGACTATTTAGATTGGCTGCATTGTCAGTGATAATGGTCTTTGGGATACCAAAGCGACAGATGATGTTAGAATGAACAAAGTCTACCACTGCTTTCTTGGTGACTGCTTTGAAAGTGACGGCCTCTACTCACTTGGTGAAGTAATCAATTGCAACCAAAATGAATCTATGCCCATTTGAAGCCTTTGGCTCGATTGGCCCAATAACATCCATTCCCCAAGCAAAGAAAGGCCAAGGAGAGGACATGGGATGCAACTCTGAAGGAGGCGAGTGAATCAGATCACCATGAATCTGGCATTGGTGACACTTGCGAACAAAATTGAAGCAATCTCGCTCCATAGTAAGCCAATAATACCCTGCCCGCAAAATCTTCTTCGCCAAAACATATCCATTCAGGTGAGGTCCGCATACCCCCGAATGCACTTCACTCATGATCCGCTCTGCTTCTGTAGCATCTATGCATCTCAACAAGTTTAAATCTGGGGTCCTCTTGTACAAAATTTCCCCATTCAGGAAGAAACCACTGGCGAGCCGCCTTATAGTTCTTTTTTGATCTCCTTTAGCATGCTCTGGATATTCTCTTGTTTTCAGGAATCGTTTTATGTCATGATACCACGGTTCACCATCTGGTTCTGTCTCAATTGTATTGCAGTAACCGTGTTGATTCCGAACTTGGATTTCTAGTGGATCAATATGAGTGTTGCCTGGATAAGGGAGCATCGAGGCTAAAGTAGCCAAGGCATCGACTAGCTCGTTGTGAAACCTGGGAATGTACCTGAACTCGATGGATTTGAATCTTTTGCTCAAGTCTTGCACACATTGTCTATACGGAATAAGCTTGATGACTCCAGTCTCCCATTCGCCTTGGGCTTGCCGGATAAGCAAGTCAGAATCTCCCATAAACAATAGTTCATGCACATCAAGATCGATGGCCATTTTTAAACGCATTTTACAAGCTTCGTTTCTGCCGTATTATTGGTACAGAAGAACCGAAGTCGGGCCGTTGCAGGGTAATGGTATCCAATAGGTGAGATGAGGATTGCCCCGATCCCAACTCCTTTGATATTGACAGCCCCATCAAAATACATTTTCCATACAGGGTAATCATCTGGAACCACTTCCTCTATTGAGTTGACCTCTTCGTCTGGAAAGTATGTGCTAAGTGGCATGTACTCATTATCAACTGGATTCTCTGCCAAATGATCTGCCAAAGCCTGTGCTTTCATCGCGGTGCGAGTGACATAGACGATGTCAAACTCTATGAGCAGGATTTGCCATTTTGCGAGCCTGCCAGTGGGCATTGGCTTTTGGAAGATATACTTCAAAGGATCCATTCTGGATATGAGGTAAGTAGTGTAGGCCAAAAGATAATGTCTCAGCTTCTGAGCGACCCAAGTCAAGGCACAACATGTTCTTTCTAAAAGGGTGTACTTAACCTCATAATTGGTGAACTTCTTGCTCAAATAATAGATTGCCTGTTCCTTTTTGCCTGTTGCATCATGTTGCCCCAGAACGCATCCAAAGGAATTATCCATCACCGATAGATATAAAAACAAAGGCCTACCAGGTTCAGGCGGGACCAGTACAGGGGGTTTTGACAGATAATCTTTGATCCTGTCAAAAGCTTTTTGGCAATCGTCTGTCCATCTGATAGCGGCATCCTTTTTCCGCAACTTAAAGATGGGCTCGCACGTGGTTGTGAGCTGCGCAATGAACCTACTGATGTAGTTCAACCTCCCGAGCAAACTCATGACTTCCTTTTTGTTCTTCGGGGGTGGCAGATCTCGAATGGACTTTATCTTAGATGGATCCAATTCGATGCCTCTCCGGCTAACTATAAAACCGAGGAGTTTCCCAGACGGAACCCCAAATGCACACTTGGCTGGATTAAGCTTAAGGTCCCGTTCGAAGAACCTTTTCAAATCACACACGTGATCAGCTTGTGTCTTTGATTTTATGATAACATCATCGACATATACTTCAATCTCTTTGTGCATCATGTCGTGAAAAATGGTAGTCATGGCCCTCATGTAGGTTGCCCCTGCATTCTTTAAACCGAATGGCATGACCCTGTAACAATAAGTACCCCATGGCGTGGTGAACGCGGTCTTTTCTGCATCATCCTCATCCATTATAATTTGGTGGTACCCAGCATAGCAATCCACGAATGATTGTATCTCATGTTTTGCGCAATTATCTACAAGAATGTGGATATTTGGCAAAGGAAAATTATCCTTTGGACTTGCTTTGTTCAGGTCCCTATAGTCGACACAAACTCTGGTTTTTCCATCCTTCTTTGGCATAGGCACAACATTTGCCACCCAGGTAGTGTATCGGACAGCTCGGACCACATTGGCGCTTAGTTGCTTCATTATTTCCTCTTTGATTTTGTCACTCCGTCTGTTTTAAATTTTCGTTGCTTTTGTTGGACTGGTGGAAAACCAGGATACGTAGGAAGCTTATGAACCACCAGATCAGCACTTAAACCCGGCATATCATCGTAAGACCAAGCAAACACATCTCTATATTTAAATAAAAGTTGAATCAAGGCATCTCTGGTTTTTTGTTCAATGTGAATGCTTATCTTCGTTTCTCTAACTTCTTCAGGACTTCCTATATTAATCAGCTTAGTTTCATTGAGGTTTGGCTTAGGCTTGTTTTCAAATTGTTCCAACTCTCTTTTTGTTTCCTCAACAACCTCATCTTCATCATATTCAACCTCTTGATGCATTATTTCGATATTAGACAGCTTTTTAAGATCAGGGCGTGAATTCCGCATGCATGTCATGTTATTAAAGCCAGCATTAACAAAACTGAAATGGAAATAAAATGACAGGAATTAGGAAAAGGAAAAGATAGAAAACTTAACAGGAAACTGAACTGCATTTCATTGAATTCGAAAGGATAGAAGGGTTAACATCAAAACAAAACAATCATACTGAGATGTTTGGATTACAACCCTGAAAGTAACCTAAAATACAAAAAAGAAGCTGCAAAAGCAAACTACCAAGACTCCTTCCTTGTGGGGAGAGGAGTTGCTTCCCAGTTGGTGAGCATGGTGTCTGGGTCAATTAGTTGCATATCGGCATGACTAGTGCCTTCACCAGCCTGGATCATATTCACTTCAGAAAACATCTCGCTGAGGCCATGGCAAATTTCATCAATGTTTGCATGTGCCGAGGAATTTTGACCCTCTCGGAGTCGTGGCTTGACAAAAGTGTAGAAAATATGAGGGATAGGCTGTTGCAAGACCCATCCGTGCTTTTTGCGGTGTTTGGATTTGTTTTCGTCTGCTTGTGTTGGCCTGAAGCCCAATCCAAAAGTACCCTGGTTACCGAACGGAGAAATAGGCTCTGAAATTCCTTGCAATGATGCCCCCAAGCCTTTTCCTGGCTTATAACCTTGTCTCATCATAACTGCAGTCACCATTACAGATGTGACGGAAAGACGAGGATGCAGAATAGGCTTTCCTTCCTCGACATGGTCCACAACAACCACTTCAAAAGCCTGATAGACAATGGACTCAGACCTTTCCTTGGCCTCAATACAGGGGATTAACGGGTCTTTATAAATGGAAGACTCGTCTTCTCCGTGAACAATAATTTCTTGCCTGTCATGTTCAAATTTGAGCATCTGATGCAAGGTGGATGGCACAACTCGGGCCGTATGGATCCATGGCCTTCCAAGAAGAAAGTTATAAGAAGTGGCCATGTCCACTACTTGGAAGACAATCTCAAAGTCAATTGGCCCAATCGTCATGGTGAGGTTGATCTCCCTTATGGTATCTCTTGCTGAGCCATCAAAAGCCCGGATGCGAACATTGCTGGGTCGGATTCTGTCTGTATCGATCTTCATGCTTTACAAGGTAGAGAGAGGGCATACATCTACACTTGAGCCTCCATCAACCATGACTCGCTTTACATAATGACCCTCACATTTGACTATCAAGTTCAAAGCCCTATTGTGCCCGGCTCCCTCCTCGGGAAGTTCATCATCAGTAAAGGAGATTCTGTTCACCTCAAAAAATCTGTTGGCCATCTTCTCTAACTGATTCAATGTGGTTTCCTCTGAGATACCTCGTTCAGGACCTTGATTAGTACACGGGCATGCTCTTTGGAATGTAGGAGAAGAGATAGTAGAGAGATTTGAGCGGGAGTCTTTCTTAGTTGATCAATGATTGAGTAATCCTGAACTTTCATCTTTTTCAAAAACTCTTCCGCATCTGCTTCAGTGACTGGCTTCTTTATTGGAAAATGGCCTTCTCTAATTTGCTTGGCCTTCCTCAACTCTTCTGGAGAGTAACATCTCCCTGATCGAGTAAAACCTCCAGTTTCCCCCACTTCCTCTATGATTTCCTTGCCTTTGTAGGTCATCACCGTTTTGTTGTAGTTCCAAGGAGTGGTTTTTGTGTTGGTTACAGGGAGTTGCATGGCAGGTTTGATTACGATAGGCTCTGTTATACCTTTCGTACCTCCCTGCTTCTCCCTTTCGACGGGATGGCCTCCAAGTACATATAACCTTGGGCTTGGAACACTAGAGTGAACTTCCAACCTCGAGATCTTTGGAACAAATAAAGTTGCTTTATTTGAGTTTTGGGCGCCTTTCACAATCAATGGCACATCTCGGCTGGGACTTACTTCCAGACCTGCTCCTTCTTGAATTGCACCCACTATCATTTCTGCTCGATCGACCAGCTTGTATTCTTGGTCTCGGCCAATCATTCCAACAAAATGAACATCATTGTGTGCTGGCAACAAATTATTTGTCACGTTAGGAGGGTCCTCGCCATTCATCACTACAATCAGTTTTTCGGAAATGAGTCTCTCTATGGCTCTTTTCAGAGTCCAACAGTCATCAGTGCTATGCCCTGGGGCACCGGAATGATATTCACATCTAGCATTTGCTTGAAATCCATGCGAATCGGGATGCATATGGTGGGGAGCGATGGGTCCAATTACGCCCATTTGCTTTAGCTTCTGGAATAGACTAGAATATGATTCAGCCAATGGAGTGAATTTTTCTACCGGCCTCTGCTCTCGACCATAATCCTTCCTGGGACGAGCATTGTAAGGCGCCCAAAAATTTTGCTGCTGAGGTCGAGGGGCCCTTGGAGCTGGTGCCCGTACCTGCTGATTGGGAGGCCAAGCATATGATTGAGCATTGAACACTGTATATTGTGGTGGGCCCACAGAGTATTGAGGAATCGGCGGGGGATAATAATGTTGAGGGTAGCTAGATTGCCCCTACTGAACTTGCACATAAGGGTGCGATGCCCCTCTTTGAAACTCCCTAGATCCCGAAGCCATCATGGACCTTTCATGTCTCTTCTTTCTGTTTGCCAAACCTCCCGACCCATTTTGGATAGCTTGGGTGGTGGCTTTGAGAGCAAGTTGACTTACAATTCTGCCAGTCTTGAGGCCATTTTCGACCATCTCCCCTATTTTGATTGCTTCTGCAAAAGGTCTACCATCGCGGACATCATGTTCTGAAAGTAATCAGGCTCTTGAGCCTCCAGAAAAACAGTGATCAACTCGTGGTTATCGATGGGTAGCTTAACTCTAGCCGCTTGCTCCCTCCACTTGATGGCATACTCCCTAAAACGTTCGGTCGGCTTTTTCTTCATATTGGACAAAGAATTACGATCCGGCACAATGTTAATGTTGTACTGAAATTGTTTGACGAAGGCCTGGGCCATGTCATCCCAAACATGCCAGTGAGAGATATCTTGGTCAATGAACCATTCGGAAGCTACCTCCACCAGGATTTCCCCAAAGTAAGCCATTAGTAGCTCTTCCTTTCCTCCTGCACCCCTCAGCTGGTTGCAGTACCTTTTCAAGTGGGCGATGGGGTCGCCGTGTCCATCATATTTCTCAAATTTCGGGGTCTTGAACTCTCGTGGCAAATGGATGTGGGGGAACATGCATAGATCACTGAATGAAACGCTTTTGTGACCACCTAGTCCGTGTATATTATTTATATTTTGTTCAAGACTTTTGATTTTCCTAGCCATTTTATATGGCTCAACCCTCGTGGCAGGCTTCTCATTTTCCACTGGTGACTCGTACTGAGGAGTCTGATTGTATGGAGCCGAGACCCCGAAAGCCATATTTGGAGAATAGTATTGGCCATCATAAGCATGAGATGGTGGCTCATTGTTTGGCCTCGTCACAGGTGGTGGCGGCGAGATTGTATATACCGGTGCGCCAGACACGACGAGAGGGGTGTTCCTAACCGGTGCGACCGGAGGTCGCATATTAGAGGTACCAAGGGCAGCATGGAGGCTGTAGTTTGGCACATACCCTGGTGGTAGAATGGGATCGCTTGTTGCATGGAGTGGTGTTTGAGTAGCCTGGGGTACGGTGGAAGTTCCCTCTGAAGGACCCTGGGGTGGAGGTCGACCGGAAACCCAAGCTTGATATACATCTCACAATTGTTGTCTCAATTTTCTTATTTCCTCCGACTCTTGCTCAATTGACTGACCCTGCGGATTGTCACTGACCAACTCGATTTCATCACTATTATCCATTACTACTGCTCCCTTAGATCTTGTGAAATAATGATGTGTTGCCAGTTTTCACCACAAACCAACAACCTTAAGCTTACTGGATTAAGAGGCAACAAATGTGTTAGAGGTAAGCATTTTGCAGATAAGAATCACACGTAGATATGCTATGCTCCTAAAATATCATCATCTCTAATATGCTTTTGGAAGGCTTCATGTTTCATTCCGGCTTATCAGTTGTTACTTATTGACACTGTTATTTCCTCCTTTCACTCGCCTTATTTTGATCCCTTACTTTAGTGTCATTTGAAAAATATTTGGTTGAACCTTTTGGAGGTTGCCTACGTATCATGTTGCCGCATGAATCAGATCATTACGTAGTTCAAGGACATGACCCCCCCTTTTTTTTAACAAATTTTTTTATGTACAAAAAACCACCACTTTACTTTTTTTGGTTTATTTTCGAATTTTCCTAAAATAAAATCTTTTTCATTGAGTTTTGATTTTTTTTTGATACAAGCCAAAGGAAAGTTACATAAAGATACAACCCAAAGGATGAATATTTAAACAAGACCGGACTCAACTTAAACAAGACTCAAAACACTAAAAGACTCTTACAAACTTGATGACTACAAATGAACAATCAAAGTGGACTGCCAACTAAAAGAAGACTCTGATCCCCGAAGGAGAATCCACCGGCATCATTGTAGTTAAGGTGCTTGTTCCTGCGGCTGACCCCCAACATTGTGGTATATCCTCTCCAAGTCTGCAGATATATGACGAGCAACGTTCAAAGATACTTCTGCAAACCGCTCGGGCGTCATTCCCTGACAACTCATGCAAGCTCTTGAGGTATATGTGGCTACCTCGAGGATCTTTCCCTTAATGTATTCCTAAGCCACATGCAGCTCTTGATTTTGCTGACCACGGGTCTCAGCTAGATCCAACGCATCACGCTCGCGGTCCAAGACCATATCTTTCTGGCGCCGATTTTCTAGTAACTCCCCCTCCAACCGGTTGATCATACTCTGGTAGTGATGTTTTTCTATTTCAAACTCCGCAATCTGGCTCTCCTTGCTTGACTCAACTCCCCCTATCTGATCCCTCAGACCTTGGATAAATGGAGCAAAACCTCTACGCCCGTGATCACGGACTACCCTGAACTGGGCTTCTCTCTCTTCTTGTTGCTGAGCGGTTGCGGCTATGTTCTTCTTTTGAATTTGGGCTTTGAGTGCTTGCTTCTCTCGTGCCCACTGAGCCTTTTCCCGCTCAAAATCAACCTGTTGTATGTCCATGGCTGTCTCCAGAATTCCCTTATATTCTTGTAAAGTGTCAATACGAGATTGGAACTCTTGTGCCACTTCCCTTCTGGTATCTCTAACTCTGGCCTATATCTCCTCCTCCCAATCAACTGCATGCCGTATGGATCTTTCTGGCCTTTGCTCAGGGATAGCCTGGTTGTGAAACCACTCAAGGTATGCGAGGCTTACCTCCCCACGTTCACGATCAGCTACCATCTTTCTATGTCAGAAAATCGACCACCAAACCAAACCTTTTGTGCATAAGACTCCCTTGGAGGTTCCTCTCCCTTGAATTCCTACACGAACGGACGCATGTCCTCAATCGGGGGCCTCTTTTGCTCTCTCCCTAGCTGGCGCATGACGCGTAGGGGCGCGTAGGGTTGGAAACCTCTAAAGCCCATGAGTATGAAGAACGGGCAATACATCGACATATGCATGACCCTAGCAGAAGGGAACCAATAATAGTTCCATGTGATTCTATTTGCATTCAATGAACCAAATAATTTCCGCCAGGCCCTCACCCCATCTGGAAGATTACAACTTGTGGCCCTAACTGGGTGACATCCAATGTAATTCAGCCAGTTTTCATTGAAATTTGTTACTATTGGATGATGATAAAGGTGCACTATGAACCACATCTGTAGCAGAATGTTGCATCCCTCAAAGTAATCTTCACCCTCTTGGCAGCGGGTCAAAGCTCGAAAAATATCTCCCAAAATCATGGGAAGAATGGTATGATCCTCGCTACTTCGCAAATACGAGACTACCGCAACCAATCAAATTCTGATGTGCCCACCACGCTCTGGGAAGACCATGATCCCTAGAAATGATGTCATGAACGCGAAGATTCTCAAATCCCTCCAAGCGTCGTAACTTAACCGGTTGACGAATTCTATGCCCGAGAAATTTACAAACCCTTTCTCGTCCCCAAACCTGTCATAGAGATATTCTAACGGAACCCAACCTTCATTTAAGCAAACCATTGGGATTCGACGGAGGCATAACTTCTTTAAAAAGTTGTTCACACCAACTTTTCTCGGAGCAGCAGGCTTTTTCCCACGAAGGTCTCTCCCCAATCCGATGAACCCACCTAATTCTTCCAATGTGGGCATCATTTCACAATCTTTGAACCTGAAGACATTGTTCGCAGGGTCCCAAAAACCCACTAGAGCCTCGATTAAATCACTGTTAGGCTTAATTCCCATGATGTTTGTGAGAAACTTGAGGTGCTTAAATAGTCGATTTCGTTCCCATGTAGCAAAACTAGCCCACCAATTACAGAGACTGCTCGGGGTCTTATCTCTGATCAAGAACATTGGAGGTGTCCCGTCCTTTACCCTTTTCTGATTGCTTCTTTGTGGGGAACTCATGGTGATCCTGGATAAGATAAAAAGGGGTTAAGACTTACCTAAACTATATGCAAATTATGACAATTCATTATTTTTATTTAATTTTTTTTGGCCAATTTAGGTCTCGATCTATATAATAATTTTTTTTTAGTTTTTTTTAATTACAAAATATATTTTGAAGTTACCGGACACAAAAGTTGAGATGATAAAAACGGAAAAATGGCTATCATTACAAAGACGACCCTTTGATACTTCCATAGAAGGCATAAAGGATGTCTCAGCAAAAACAGCCAAACACAGGAACAAAATGATAAAAGTAGAAAAAATAATAAATAAAAACTATTTTCACGAAAATGACCCTTTGTTACTCCGAGAGGGGTTCCGAAGCTATTTCAGAAAAAGAAACTAGACAAAACTAGATAAAAAATGGTTACTTTTGCAAAAACAGTCTTTCGGTACTTCCGGAAAGGTTTAAAGCTGCTTCGATAGAAATGGCCAGACATAAGGGCAAAATGGTAAAAGGTGAATAAATATGGATAAAGTAACTATTTTTTTTTGGTACGAAAATGGCCCTTCAGCATTTGACCAAAATAGGCTCTCCTTTTTTCTTCGAAAATATTATGCACACGCGAAATTCTATGCTCCCTTTTTTTTTTCTGAAAAATGTGGGCTGAACCCGATGGAGGTTGCCTACGTATCTCACATCCGGTGAAAATCAAACCCGCGTAGTTCGGTAAAACTGAGTACCCTTATATTTATTTATTTTTTTAAATGAAAAATTAATCTTTACAACTCACACCAGACCTACTACAATATATATATATTCTTTGTTTTTTAGGAAAAGGTTTATTTGCACTAAACTAGGAGAATTATTCTTTTTCTCTCTCTCATTTTTTTTACTTTTAATAATTACACTAATTTTTTAAGACCGGTCGACAATGAAAGTAAGCCTTTCAACTGATGTATCAAGTAGAACATACGTGAACATGATGGTCTCGAAGAGGATATCTGTCTTATACGGACTCAGCCCCTGTGCCGAGTTTCGCTATGTCAAATGCACGTGATGCAAATAAAGTGAACCTACTAGGGATATCCAGCATGAGGTTTGTTCTTCTAGGTTTAAATCTTATTGGAGGAAAGTATCTAGACTGGCTTACTTGAGCGGACAACTCCAGCTGTGGAGGGTCAGTGTACCGGTGGCATTGCTTTCCGGCTTAACTAGTAGTGCTCCCCGCCTAAAACAGGTGTGACTAAAATCCTTCACCCGGTGACAAGAACCTCGGCTATCTCAAAGAAAGCAGGCTATGTCAAGCAAATGCCCAATTTTACTTTCAAGAAGACTCAAAGGGGGTGCGTGAGAAGACAATTTATATGTACAATTCAACAATATCGAAGCAGTAAAAAGCGAACAGGTCGCATATTGGGCACAAATAAATCACAATATATACAAAATTAATAAAGCCAAATAAAAGTCAACATGTACAAGCTTGAATTCTAGTTATCCCTAGCGGAGTCGCCAGAGCTGTCACACCTCTTTTTCCCCCCGAGAGGATATAATAATATGTGTATGGGTCAAAGAGTTTTTCCAATTAAAGTGACAAAATTTGAATAGGGCTTATTTTATTGTTCGGAGTCGCCACTTGGAATTGATTTTTTTCGGTGTTTCAAGTCACCATTTATTTGGATCGCTAGTCAAAGGAAGGTCTGACTCTATTTTAATCGGTCCGAAAAAACAAAGTCCGGGTAAGGAATTCTGTTGACCAGGGAGAAGGTATGAGGCATTCCCCGAGTCCCGTGGTTCTAGCACGATCGCTTTATTGACTTAAACTTGGCTTGAACTAATTTTGGACAAACTATGATTTATATTATTTTCATGTTTTACCTATCCGCTTTTATCTCTTGATTATTAGAAAATAAAGAATATTTTTTAATAACATAAAAAAAATGTCATAACCACACTACGCAAGTGAATGCGTGATCGACGAAATTTATTATTTAGTCATAACGGCGCTACATAAGCGAATCCGCAGTCATGACAAACAATTGTTAGCAAGTTATTTACTTCTGGGAAAATTACTACATTCTAAGAATTTAATTTTGAAATTTATTAAAAAATCAACTATCGCGCTACGCAAGCGAATCCGCGAGTTTGGCAAAGAGTTTATTAAATTAAAAATTAACTAGAAAACTAACGAATATTGTATGACCTTGTTGAATTAAATTGCTGAATGTTGAACATCACGTTACGCAAGCGAATCCGTGGAATTAGAGCGCGCCTACTAATTGCCTAGCGTTCAAATTAATTAATTAAAAGAAAATGAGTTACTTAATTGGTATTAAAGATCTGATTTTTATTGCTATTTTCTAGCCTTATTGTTGGAAATGTTATGCAAATAAATGTTAGACCAACTCAATCTATTTTAAAGGGATGGGCCAACTTCTTGGTAAAGGAAAAATGGGCCAGCTTGTAAAGAGCTCTTGGGCTGCTGGAATTTATTATTAAAATGGGTCAAGAAATGGATTTTCATTGGCCCAATGCTATATAGAAGAAAAGGGTAATTTTGTTGTTTAAAGGTAAATGGGCCAGCTTTTATTTTTTGGTTCAAAAAGGCCCAAAGTTGATATAATATTGGTTCTATAGTCACAATTGTATAAACGCACACTTTACAAAAATAGCCACTTTTGCAAATCTGGCAAAATGGTCAGATTCAAAAAAAAAATAAAATATAACAGCAGTCCTAGAAGCATATGTTGGCATTGGAATTTCAGCAACTAAAACGAACTCATGCTATGTGTTATACACCTAAAGTCATTCATGGCATACTTAGCATTGTTACTCGGATACAATAGCTTGAAAACATGCTTAAAAATCCATAAACTACTTACATATAACATTCAAAAACTTGCAACTCAATATTCAAGTATTATGAAGGACTATATTCACATTATCACATACTTGATACATAACAATACCGTACAAGCTCTTTTGTTGTCAAGTTATTCATCACATCAAACACATTTAAATGGTGCAGCATGTTCAAGTTGTTCCCATTGCTGAAAATACATACATTACGAGTCTTAAAGGATTACCTGAATAGCAAAAGAATAAACAGTAGTCCAGCAATTAAAATAGCATAAAAAATAGCAGCACAACAATAGCAAATCCGTGTTAAA